AACCACTCTCTCTCTCTCTCTCTCTCTCTCTCTCTCTCTCTACGTAGTATGCGGGGGTTTCAAGTCGAAGGCCAAAAATCCCTGGCTTCGGTGTCCCTTTGAAGCAGACATAAAAGACCGCCTTAAGAGTTAAAATATTAATCGAAAACATATGTAGACCGTCAAAAGGGCAAATTAATCGAAAAGGCAAAAGAACTCAGCGGAAATGGTACTAATTGATTTTCTTAATTTTATGAGAAATTTATCGTTTGATAGTTATAAGAGTTGAACCCTCTATTTACAGTTATTCGCAGTCATGATTATATGTTTTTTTTTTTATGGATGTTCTAAAATTAAATCAAAAAAATAAAAAGCAGCGTAAGTGGAGCCTATCTATAAAGGAAAATGATTGATAGGGCCGCAACTCTATCAAAATAAATAAAATCTCATCTCATAATTTATCAAAAATTACAAGTCAAACATCGAAAACCTTTACGGTGATTATCTCGGCTTGAACATATTAGTCGAAAAAACAATTAGGATGTTAAGCTCTAAAAAATCGTATATATTATAACAAATTATCTAGACCGTCTATTTAACCCTAAAATTAAGTGTTCATAGTTCTGTTCTATTTTTTGAGTTTTAAAGAGTTTCAAATAATATTGTCGATATTGAAAATTGATTTAAATCTATCATGGAGATTTCTATTGTTGAAAGTGCTTTTCAAAAGAGGATTTGGGGTGAGACTTTATTATGTTTTCATAATGCCTACGCCCTTTAGAAACTTCACCCATCTAAAATTGATAATCTGAAAATCTTAAAATTTGATAATCTGAAAATGCAATACAATATGCACTATATTTAATAGTTGAAATCCATTTTTTCTCATGTCCATACATCTTGAAGTCACGATCAATATTGTGAAGAGTCTTAAATTTCTCTAAACAGATTAAGTATCCATTAATTAATATAAATATACAAACTTATCATAGACAAATACAGACAATAAAAATAAAAATAAATCACCGACACCTATACTACATTTCCAGAGTACACATTGTGCAAGTACAGGCACACACATGAGAGAGAGAGAGAGAGAGAGAGAGAGAGAGAGAGAGCATTTTGCTCAACTCTGGTCTCAACTACTTCACGTTTGGGAACAGGCATGAAATTTTACAGCACTGAAATATAGAGTTCCTTCGCTAAAAGCCAATATCTGTCTCCCAAACTGCACTTGGCCATAACAAACTAGTCAACACAAGAATATCTAAAAACCAACCCACCCATGTTAAGCGAACAGCTGTTGTATTCCTAAATTCTCAATCTCTCCAAACATTCAGACAGAAAATATTGGAAAACTAGAGAAGTCAATCATCAGCATTCATAGGAGAAATTAACGGCAATTGGATGTCCACACCTCGAACACAATGTGGGACAAAATGCAGCGAGAATTTGAGTTGATACAATGAAGAGAGGATTACACATATTACTACAATTCACAAACAATAAAAAAGGCCTACCTAATCAACCAGACTAGATTTAAACATCTTCGAAACAACAATAAACAATAATTCCACTTAATGAGCTCTTAACAGCAGTTTAAAAAGATGCAGTCAAGATGCCGCCTGCCTCTCTATCTGGTACAAAAGAAAATCCACATTTACGTGGTGAAGAAGGTCCACAGCTTCTTCCCAATGGATGCCTCCTGGTTCTCATCATTCACATAGCCATCATCATCATCATCATTACCATCATCATCCTCACCACCTCTGCTCCCAGAGCCACCACCATCCTCATCATATTCTAATAGGTCATTCGCTCCTTGATTTGCTTGTGGTTCTTGTTCACTCGAGTTTGGACCCGGATCATTGACATCAGTCTCTTCTAAGGCTCCACCCGTTTCAATCTGAGATCATATAACCAACATTCACATTAAACACTAGAATTCTGCATCAGATACAATGCATATCAAATATATGCTAAAGACTGTTTGGATCTGGGAGAACCCCTCTTGATTAAATGAGAATGGATTTACTTATTATAATTTTGTCTAGCCAAAAAAAAGTCAACTCTTTTCCGTAGGTTGTTAAAAATGGAAAGGTTTCAGAAACCTCCATAATCAGAAATTGAATCAAATAACAAAGCCGAGAATGCAGAAGCAAGCAGGCAGGATGAGCAACTTTCGCATTTCCAGGCCTGCCATCCATATAGAGAAGCATAGGTCGCTGCAAATGGTTAAAGCTATAAATTTCCAGCCAGAGGGGATGTCCACAGGAGAGTCAAATTGTCTAGAAAAGATTAATGATGATCAAGATCATCACTAATCAACAACAGTAAGAGATGCCAATGCATACTGGACATACACTAAGGGGGGGTGTGCAACAAAAATCAGGGTGGGCCCTCCATTACCATCAATCTGCAAAATGTGCCCCACAGATTGTATTCCGAATGCAAGCCGCTTTTTCTAATTCCTGCCCATGCAAACCCAGTGTGTTCCGTGAATGAGTTTACCAGTGCAGAAGCTATTTCCCTTACGTGCCACTTTTTAGATTCGAAGGGCCATTACATTGTCGTTATGGTTATACTACTATATGCCATTTTATCCAAACAGGACCCAGGCCATGATGCAAAATGAGATACTTTTCTTTTTCTTCTGAAAAAGAAATAAGAGAAGCTAGTGTTTCTAATCAGGGAAAAGAAAAAGAACGAAAATAATAACAAAGAGAAAAGCCTTCTCTGTTGAAATTAATAAATAGGCCCCTTTTTCTGAGTCCTAAACAACAGAACATATCCCTACATAGAGCCCATAATTAAACGAGAATCTGCATGAGGCTCAGAACAACATGCAGTGCCCCTCAACATGCAGTGCCCCTCCAACAGAAACTTATTTTAGGGCCGTTCCACAATTTCAATCAAATTATCAAATAGCCAAGAGGTACTCTTGATCCTTGAAGAAAACTAGTTAATTATTAAATAAATTAAAATAAATAGAGAGCGCAGGTTTTTTTTAATCCTAAAACATTGGCCAAAACATGAAACATCCAATGAAATATTGCCAACAGATCCCAACATTACAATATAAAAGGTGACAGATGGAATACAAACAGTTTTTTACAAGAAAAAGAGATGTTTCATTAAAAAAAGTGCATGTTTCATAACAGTGTAAAGGCTGTGAAGTCATGATTCAGTTTTTAAACATAGAAAGCAAGATAAAGGAAGACAATGGCCCTTAATTATGAACATAAAAAAATTAACAGCCTCTTTGTGAAAAATATATAAATTCTAATTTTATGACATGATTTCCACATAATTCTCCATAGAGTTTCCAATTTTCTGTTTATTACTACTCTTTCCCCTTTCTCATTTAACACTGATATTCCAAATATATCAGTTGTTACAATTGTGAAACAGAAACAACATCCCTCTCTCCCACCCTCCCTGCCTCCCTCACAAAAAGGGAAGCCCTTTTCTAGTTTCAGCATATCTAATTTTCTATATTATCCATGATAAGGGAAGATTAGAATTGTAAGTAAAATAAACATCAACTCACCATGATGACTTTTTGTGTCGAGAACTCTCGATGAATTTCAACAATGCTTTCGAATTTTGTATGCTGCAGCATGCGCACATCTGTCTTAGCTTCCCCACCTCCATGGGCATTCTCCAAGGATTCTATGGACGGTTCATCAGGATGTATGTGGTTAGAGGTTTGCCCTTCTACCACCTCCCCTGGTGATTTAGTCACATGTTGACTGTGATTCTCATCAGCATCAGTAGTAACCTTAGAAGCCAAGGCTTGGGAGCCGACCGGATTTTCAACATGCTTTTCTCTGACAAAATTGCACATGCAGTTTCAGAAAATAAAACTAAAGTTGTCGGATCATTACAACAAACATAAAATATTACAGAAAGAAAACTCCCAACAAACAAGAAAAGGAAGAACAACTTACAAGGTAGAATGTCTTAGATTGTAACGTCGTCCTCCAGGAGGTTGAATGTGAGAAGGCTCTATCTGCCGCCTTTTTGAGCGTCCCCTCGTGACACTCTCTGACTGAGAATCAGCATCCTGCTGCTGCTCACTCATGGTTCTGGAGGTGGTAGGGTGCTGCCTTTTCCTCCCACCCTTCTTAACAATTGGCTGCCCCTTGCTATCCACATTGGCCTGTGCAGATTCCTCTTCTTCTTCCGTTTTCAGCTCCTCAGAAGACTCTCCAAGGATTGCCTTGGACTCCTTAACCACATCCTTCACAGATCGGGTTCGTCTTGTGAGTTTCGGCGCACCTCTCCTCGGCTTCTTTCGTGCTCTACCGCCAGCTGCTGCTGAAGGATGGGAGATCTCAGCTGAAGCAGATGGCCCCTCCTGCATCTCGAGCATGTCGCTCTGTGTGCCGTCAGCAGCAGAAGGTGTCACTACCGTTTCTTCTTCGTCCCCTCTCCCAATGCTCTCAGGAGATGCTGCCCTTCTATGGAAGTCAACAGCCTGACTTATTTGTATTCCAACAGAGATTTCTGGCTCGTCGTAGTTGGCACCACCCGAAACTAAACCTCCAGAATCATTTTCCAATATCTGATCAGCATCGGCCTCCACATCAGAAGGAGACTTCTCTTGGTTTGTTACTTGTTCATCGAGTCTTTTCCCAGGAGACAACTTGAATATTGACTTGCATTTTTGAAGCCACGAGAAACGAGCGGGGCTTGTGGAATTTAGAACTGCTCCAAGAGGAGGCGTCTCTTCCATCAGATTAGAAGGACCAACATTAGATCTCCCTTGCATACTCTCCTTCATGTAACCATCAAGAAGCCTTGGTAGCAAATTGCCACCATTGTTTTCAAATTCTTTGAAAGATTGCAGTTCGCTAAGTGCTAACCCATCTGTGACATCAATGCTATCGCCCTGCCCACGCTTCAGATGCTCGATACGAGAAAGGATACGATCTCTCTCCCTGCGAAGTTCTTCTCTCTGCTCCTTCAACTTTGTGGTCAGAATATGAAGTTGTTCTACGTCTTTCTGTATCTCCAATCGCTCTCCTTCAACATGCTTTTTGCTCAAGGCAACTTCTTGCCTTTCCCTTCCAAGTTTTGTCCTTTCTAGCTTCATTTCTTCCATTTCCTTTTGAGCCAATTCCCTTTGGGCCTCTATTTCTTTCCACATTCTTTCTCTCACTTCTTGAAAATCTCTCTCTTTCTCCAAAAACTGCTTCTCCATATCCTCCCTCCGATTCTGTATGGAACTCTCAAGAGCATTCTTTTGAAGCTCAAACTCACGAATCATATCATCTCGTTCTCTTCGAGCATTTTGAAGAATGACAGATCGCTCATGATTCATGTTCTCAGTGAAAGAATTTTTCTGCAACTCAAGAGCTTCGTATTCTCTCTGAAATTTTTCTGATGTTTTTTGTTCCTCTCTCTTTAACTTGAGTTCTTCTTCACATTTCCTCTTTAAAAACTCATCCTTCTCTACATTATGGAGTTCCACCTCTTTATTAACTTCATCTCTTTTCACATCTAGGACTTCCCACTCCCTCTCAAACTTCTCCTTGTCCAGCTTTAAATCCTCTCTCTCCTTTTCAACTGCTAATTTCTGGAGTCTGAATTCATCGATTTCTTGTTTCAGTTCCGATTGCAAACGAAGCAGTTCTCTCTTGTCATCTTCAGTAACTTTAAGATTTTCCTGCTCCTTCACAATCTTCTCCTTCTCTTCTTCTACAGCAGCTTTTATTCTCTCAAGTTCAAGCTTCAGTGAATGCAGATCTGCTTTCTCGATCACCATTTTCTTTTTATCGGTGTCCAAATCTTTTTGTTCAATTTTTAGGAACTTCTCCTTCTCCTTCAAGGATTTAGTTTTCAACTCCAAGTCCTTCTCTTTCTCTTTTGTTTTCTCTGTTCTCTTTTCTAACAGTTGCTCCTTTTTGTTGATCTTTTCCTCCTTGAGATCAACTTCAACCAGTTTCTGCTCCACTACAACTTGTTTTTTTTCGAATTCCTCTTCCAAGGACTTCCTCTTCTGATCCATTTCGATATCAAACTCACGTTTCCTCAACTCAAGAACAGCATTATGTTCATCAAGAAGCTTCTGAATCCCCTCCTGAAAGATGTAAAGAGTCAGAAATGGATGATCAGACGACATAACAATACTTCCACATTTTTATAAATCGTGGAATTCAGACCAAAAGTTGCACTAAGAATTTTGGTGACGCTTTCTTTCTGGCTAATTTTAAAACTACGAAAATATGTTTAACGACAATAAAAAATGATTAGAAGATGTATACTTGCCTTTTCCCTAGCATTAAGTTTTTCTTGCAGTAAATGTAACTCCTGCTGCGCCTCATCCAAGTTCCTTTTCCTAACAGCGGCTTCCTATACGCAAGAAAAAACATATCAGTCATCCTCCAAAAAATCTAATCAAAATAATTATTCCACTAAAAGGCACAAAGGAAAACTCACTAGAGGAAAAGGTTGAGGTATGAAAAATAGCATGAACAAATATCAAAAGGAATGACAAAATAAAAAATTTGCAGCAACATGAAAGGGTATAAGTAAAATATGGGAAAATATATTTTTATCATTCTAAAGCGATGCATTGGTTACAGTAATTAGAAGAAAGTAGAAGGTTATAGTCACAGGAGTAATATTACACGTGGATATATCTAAGGGAACCGCAAAGAGATTAAGAAATTGTGAACTTGCATTAGACAGTTAGGTATCATTGGACTGTAAAGCTACTTCTGGAAATTTTAGGCCCTTCCCATAGCAGTGGAAATAAAATGTATGAAAAACATGGATCTGTAATCCTGAGAAGAAAATATTCAAGGAAAGCATGAACACCAAGGATTCCAACATATCTCATAATACAGAAAAATTAAAACTACAAGGAATTGTTCATGGTTAAAATTTTAAAATAGGGAAATTTATCAGATTACCCATGAGAGATGAACATTTGAACACCTAACCGTTATTTTTTATATAATTTTAAAATGCCCATAAAAAACACATGATGTTGATCTGGAATAGTTGCAAATAAGTAGAATGTTTATAAAAATTCATCTCTTATGGGTATTTTGATAGATTTCCCTTTTAAAAAATACATGGAAGGTAGTTAACAAATTCAAAAAATAATAATAATACATGGAAGGATATTTAAAACTTACCTCTTCTTGCGCCGTCAAACTACGTAGCCGCATGTTCATTTCTACTTCTTTGTCCTTCAAATTCAAATTGCCCTTTTCAAACTTTGCCCATGCCACTTCAAGATCCTTCTCCTTTTTTGTCAGAAACATCTCTTTCTCGTTTGCAAGTTCCTCTCTTTGGTTAAGAAGTCCCTGACTTTCTACAAGCCTTTCTTGACCTTCCTTGAGCTTCCTTTCCCAGTTTCGTAAATTTTCTCTTTCTCGATTAAAAGTTGTCTCATGAGCTTCCCGCCTGGATGCCATAATATTCATTTATGATCACAGTACTACTTTCAAACTCAATAAAATATAGTGAGTTCCAAATAGAATACAAACTATAGGAATAAAATTCCACAGGTGGTAATATGAATGAAAGGACCACCATTAGACTCAATTCCCTGGCAATAAATAAGCCTAGAATAGCACAACTTACTCTGCTTTCAAGGATTGGCGCTCCCTCCGAAGTACACTTTCACGCGTCTCAATTTCCTGTAATTGCCTTTCTAAGTTTGAGCTCTTTCGACTTGCCTCAGCCAATTGTGCGTCAGCTGAACGTAGTTTAGCTTCAGCCTCTAGAGATTTTTCTTCAATACTTGCAACTAAACTGCGAGCTTCAGCCAACTTCTTATCAGCTGTGAACTTGATCTCCGCAAATTCCGTACGCATCTCATGCAAAGCATTTTCAAGCTACAAAAAATAACATCTAGAAATATAAGGCCAACAGATCTTTAACAAAAGTACATAATTCAATGTCGGTGGATAGTTAATTAAAAGAAAAAACGATAACCATATACATCAGCTAAAACCTTATGTTCTGGAATGCAATTCTAAAATTTCGGACAACTGAGAACGCATTAGTAGTAATTAAAGAGTACGGCCCAGACATTGAACCCCATGACATCAAGCAGAATGAAGATTCTTAACTCTCAGAATAGCATATTTCCTACTCAACTTTTTTTTTTTCCTTTTTTTTTAACTTTTTCAAAAGATAGAGGAGCAATGAGCTTCCTACTCACAAATGCGTTTGTTTGACAAATACTTCAAAAACTCTGTATCATTCATTAAAAACTTCAAATACTGATGCCTACCCAGGTCATATGATTAAGCATAACTTCAATTCCAATGTTTTACTCACAAACAGATAGCATTTAATTGAATGCAATCATAAAATAGCGCAACTCCAGAAATAAATAAGAGTGCCCACTACCAACATCAGACAATTGGCAGCTACTCTGGAAATGTACTGCACTTTCCGTATGGACCAACAATCAGCAGACAAGACAATAAGCATCCGTAAGAAGAAAGGAACAGGAGACTAATTCCAAGCAACTGAAAGGGTATGAGGATGCTCATCATCTGTGAAAAGTGTCAAAGAAACAAGTCCAAGTCACCAGGTGGAAGAAGATAATGAGAAGCACCAGATAGGCATCATGGTAGCAACATTTCATGCTCTGGACTGGAAAAATGTTAGCTACATACACTCAACACCCCAATGCAAATACCTTGGGAGCCCCTATTAGCCTTCCAATGCGACTCTGATCAACTAGTCCATTCTCCACCAGACGGTAGATCCAAAACCATTTGTAATAAAAACAAAATGCATTTGACATCCCGATTCGCACAGATGGAAGTACCACATCTAATGGAAAACTCAAAGAAGCCAACAATAAATGGACTCTCTAATATGACTCACTTGTTCTCTCCAATCAAGCACAAACAGAATTTCTGCTGTATGTTACTGAAATTTTGATAAGAGCTTTCCCCTTAATATAGTGTTGAAGTTAGTGATTCCTCATGTCCACCAATAGTTGGCATTAATGGAGAAAACTAGCCATGATACTTGATTTTTGATATATACCGACTGATTGTAATCATAAATGGGCAAAATTGCCAATTTGGAAGTTGTCAACATGCACATGATTGTCAGCAAAAGTACTGGTTAATACATTTTTTTTTAGTAAAATTTCTCCTTAGGAAGCCATTCTATGAAAGAAAAGTTTGGTTCTGTATCGAGCTGCATGAATGCTTGAAGGTAGCTTGAATTGAGCTGCATATCTAAAACATCTGGTCAAAAATGCGGTCGAGCCTCCAGGGACGGCGTTAGACTTCTTGGCCCAATTTATGACTTTTTGGGTAGCCCCCTCTGATGAGGAGCCCTTGCCCACAATAGTATAATTCCAAAACAGGAAGCATGGAGTCATGAGCACATGAAGATTTGACAAAGTATATGCAGAAATCAAAGACGTAGGTCAGCTAAAAACAAACCAAGTTCTATTACTGAGCACAAATTCAAGTTCATATACTATTGTTTAATAAAGTATATTTTTTCCAGATGAGAAAAGAAAAAAGCATTATACCTAAGCAATGGCAAAAGAAATGTAAGATGCACAAGGTATATTAACATGGAAGAGTATACAATGGGACTGTCCACCTTCGGTACAATTACAAAAAGATAAAAAGGACCACAAGCCGTCAGATGTGCAATCGGCCTGTGGAGGGTTTATCATTGAACATGCTCAAAGTCAGAAATTTTTGTTGAATTTCATGTGGATGAATAGCAGATTTCAAACCAACAACTTAAAATGGTTTTAGTTTTTCATACCAGAAGTGATTGTCATTGTTTACAGATCCTATTAATATGACAGTTTTGAAATGACATATCAAAAAAGTAGTTTTGAAATAACCAACAATGGCACGGCAATCGTATCTTTGACAAAAGAGGAAGAAAAGAACCACGTAAGAATTACATACATCAGCCACACATTGCTTCTCGACACCCAAGGCCTTTCTCAAATTTTCCTCTCGCTTCTCCACCTCGGACAAGGCTATTAGGTGTGAGGCCTGTTCTCGTTTGAGGCTCTCCTGAGCTTCCACTAAAGCTTGCTTCAGATCATCATATTTAGAAGTCCACTCTTTCTTCTCAATCAAAAGAAGCCCCATGTTGTATTGGTAATCAAATAGCTGCACAGAAAAACAGAAAGTTAAAGACCCAGATATGTTCACTACATATCATAATACACATCTGAGGCGCAAGGGAAAACATAAAAACACCTGTCAAGGCCAAAAGATAAGCTCATAGCTATACTATCTATCTATCTCTCTCTGTCTGTTTGCCTGTCTGTCTTATCTGTCTATCTATCCATGTGTGCATGTCGATAGATGAATGTTTGTGTGTGGGTGTACTAGTGTACATACACATTGATGACAAAACGCATAGATATTCAACACTCCATTTTCTTTTTTCAATTTTTGATGTTAGCTGAGTCACTAAGAAACAACATATAATTTCAAGATGTCCATGTACATCATAATATCCCCAAGGCACAAAAATAGAAGCACAGATGGATATATTCATACATAAATAGCTATAAACATGCAAGTGTGTGAAAGCCCATGCACACATACTGAAAATGATACTACATTACTAAGGTTGCATAAATTCTGAGATGACCACCAGAACAATCAGATTATGTTGCACACAAGGCCATAAAGAACCATTACAATTTACAAGACCATGGATTTCCTTTTAATGGTAAATAAGACCATAAAATTACTAACATATGTGAAGGTTCAAGGCTCCTGAAAAAATTTAACTGCTTCGAGATATGCAATGTTAACATGAAAACTTTCCCCAAGACAAACCAACCAGTTTACCAAGCAACTCTTCCAACTTGGTCAACTATAAATATGGATTTGTGTAAGGCCATAAATACTAGTAGCAGCCCAAACCCTTGTCACCACCCATTCTGTTAACCCATACATTCACACTGCGTTATCTCATCCTGCGTTACAAGAAACTGATGGCAAAATCAAAAGCCTCGGACAAAGATCTCTTTACATCACCTGTCCCTCCAAATATTGCCCAGTAAATTGCCACACTAGGTATCTTCCCTCACCTAAACAGATGCTTATCACATTTGATGAAAAAGATAGTCAATTATTTTGTTCCAAAGAAACCAGCTAGCTAACGGAAAGATATGCTATTAATAATAGGAAGAAGAAAATTGACAATGGAATTACACCAAGTTTAAAGCAGATGCCCTCCTCACGATTTTTAATCATGAAAACCAAATAGTAGCTTCCACAAACTTGAATTCAGACTTGGGGGTTCATTAGGTTGACTCAGTGACTTTGACATTGAGACCTTAAGAGCCAAGGCCAGACAACCATATGATTTTACATCTCGGCATTTTGCTCATCAGCTTAAAATCCCATGTCCGGAGATCAAAAGTTTTTGAAGAACCAATTTTAGAAAGAAATCCATATATTGATGAACTAATGAACCAATGTGCTAATCAATCATTTACTAAATTATCAACACTACCACCCCATCATTTAGACACCCTAACTCATCAATGTCTCCGTGTTGCTCCTCCTTATCATTACTATCAATATGAGGGACCAAGAGAGAACAGCAAGTCATTTCTTTTTCTTTTAGCTTTTCTATTCTGTTTGGATGCACCCAAAGCCACTAATAGTCCACTTTTTTTTCTTTTTTTCTTTTTTGCAGAAGGGGTTAACTCATCATCATCATCATCGAAGTCTATATTTTTTTGAGAAGCGGTCGACTACATTTCTAAATATAAAGCTTACTTATAAAATCTCCAATATGGCTACCCACAAAACCGAGAAAGTCTATATGAGCAGCCTATAAGCTGTAAGCGGTACACTAGAAGCAAAAAGGAGAAAATCTGGGACAGATAAGGAAATATGGGGAGAAACAAAAAGAGGAAGAGAGAGAAAGAAAGGTGGTAGAAAGATAGGAGAGAAAAGATTGGTGAGAAGAATAGAAAATGAGAGATGTAGCAACAGAGAGAGAGAGAGAGAGAAGAGTATACAAGAGATAGAGATTGGTGGGTGGAGAGACAAGAGACATTAGAGAGAAAGGAGCAAAGGAAAGGAAGTGAGAAATTTAGAGGAGAAAGTGAGTAGAGAGGAGAGAAGAAGGATTTTCAAGCCAATGAGTGAGTAGATATCAAGACTACCGCAGCTCCCTCCATGGCTTAACCTATCAATGAAGGCATTTGCTTCCCTTGGAATGTGCTTGAAGGTGACCTGGGTTATCCTGCAAAACATAAATATGCGGTCAAAGTCTCTAAGGGGAGGTTGAGCCTTTTTTGCTGCCCATGAGATCGTGTTCCTCGAACCTCCCTCCACTATAGGGTATTCAATTCTGCTGATGGATCCATCTTCTAGGATAACTTCAGTTTCAATTGTGGTAGCGTCTCTGTCCTATGAACCCTGAGAAGGACAAAATCTCGAAGTTGTGGTTTGAGAGGCTTCCCCCGAAACCCCAAGGGTCCAGGTTTCTGAGGAAGCAGACGTGAAAGTTTAGCTTAAGAGTTCCCCGAGATGGGGGAACCCAAAGGATCCGAGAGCTCCGAGGTCTAGTTTTGAGGTGCAAGAAATTTTCCAATTAGAGAGGAAACTAGAGGAGCTTAAGTTGCAGCACAACCATCTCTAAGCCTAAACATTGTAATATCTTTGATGCGCTTGAGAAGAGTGGGATATGTAAGTGCCGAAAAGGTACATGTGTTTCTTTCATTCCAAACCACCATAACAAAGGGAAAACCAAGGACATACAAGGATGTGGCCAGTTTTCGGTAAAGGTAGAGAGAGGAAGGCAACAAGAAGCTGCTGAATGGGTTGCGAAGTCACCAAAAAGAAACCAAAAGATTGGAGGAGTTGGGGCCACAAAGGTGATGTGGCCTGGTAGTGGAGAAACAATGGTCAGTTTTCTCCTCTTCCTGCATACACATAACATATCAATTTGACAATTAAAGGCCTCTCTTTTATGGTTGATCACCTGTCAAAGCGCAACCATGGCAAGGATCCAAGTGAGTGCCTGAACCTTGTGGGGAGCTAGAGCTGAAATGATTGAAGTAGGATTGAGCAGCAGGGATGAATAGGAAGAGGCTACTATGAAAACTACATTCAGCAATGGGCCTCAGAGGAGACGGTCCGTGAAGCAACTCTTAACAAGGGGATAAGCTTTGCACTTTCAAAGATAGGGTTCCAAACAAGGCACATGCCTCTGACATCAGCTGATTCCAGAACACTAGTGTTCCCATTAACGACAATGGACAAAAGTGATGGCCATCGATTCACCAGGGTCTGATCCCCCAGCCATGAGTCTTTTCGAGAACCTAACATTGTCTCCTTGCCCGAACTTAAAGCTGACGGTTTCTTTAAAATGGTGCCTGCTCATGGCTATACTGATCCAAGCACTTGAGGCATGACGATGTGGGTATTTGGGGAACCGGCCACCATTTTCTGTATCATAATTACCTGTTATGACCTTCCCACACAAATGTGTATCATTTACTGCATAGTTCCACCACCACTTCCCTAAGAAAGCCAAGTTGGTCACTATAGGCCTTCTAACTCCGAGACCACCTGCTTTTTTAGGTCGACACAAGAAGAGGATTGTGTTAGGTAGGGCAGCCAGCGTAAAAATTGCCAAATCTTGTCATAAATCCTGAACCTATGAGCAGAATGGCAAAACATTATTAATGTGGCCGTGCCCAAATAGCTGAGATAAGGCTTAGATGATGATGATGATGACACTTTCACAAGCAATAAGGTAGAATTTAAGTCCTTCGCTAGTGCTTGACCAAAGGAAATTCCTCATAAGGGTTTCAAGATTGGATGCAAATCGGAAGGGATTTGGAACAAGGGTAGAGTAAATTGGGACATTTGTTAGGCTTGCTTTTATGAGAGTTATTCTGCCCCCCTAGAGGAGTCTCCCTTTCCAGCTAATCCTGGGTATTTCGATGGTAGTGTTTCAATGCCGTATCTCCGCACTTCCTCCTCTGTTATAATGCCCAATAATTTAGTTTTGGACATGTTGACCTCATCCCTATAGAGATCTCGAAACATTTAAGGAATAACCAGAGGTTATCCAACTGTGTTGGGCAGGCATCACAAAAGATGATGGTGTCAAAGGCATACAATAGGTGAGAGATCTCTAGGCCCTTTCTCAAGGTACTATACCCACGGATACTACCTTGATCGTAGAGTAAGGAAATGGATCTAGAGAACAATTTCACTATGGTTGCCAAAAGGAAGAGGGAGAGAGGGTCCCCTTGAGGTAAACCCCTGGATGCTGTGAAGTATACTTCCCGTGAGCCACTTATTTTTTTGGAAGTGTTAAACTGTATTGTACTCCGGTGAGCCATTTATGATGATGGAGAAACTTGGGTTTGGAACACACATTCTTTAACTCAATTTCTCCATATGATGCCAAAGCCAATCCCTACCTGAATCTCATCAATAATTGACCCATCAACGTGGTCGTAACTTTCTCCAAATAACTTTGTCGACATCCAACTTTATCTAATTACTCTCTAGAAGTATTGCTGATTTCTACAATTTATTTTTCTTATTAGAGTTACTCCATATCGGGCTTTCTTATTCTTGTTAGTTCCTATACATTCCCCTATATCTTTAACACAGTTCATGATGGCCCTAGCCAAACAGCACATAATATTAAGCTTACATACATAACTGTGTCAACCCAACAACTAATAGATATCTGTTGATTCACTAAGTTACTCATATGGTAGCTTTTATTTTCATCCAAACAGACCCTAAGGCTTTACGTTTATGTTTGGCAGAAACATTTCACTGGCTTTATTTAAAGAAAACCTGAAGTTACAAAGTTAAATCATAAGTTAGCTGCCTCTTATTTCATAATAGATAACAAAAAACTAAGTTCAAAGTTTATCACATGAATGCTCTTAAGTCTTAACAATAAAATGGTACACGAGTAGAGTCATTCAATTCAGTTTGACCAGCAAGTTGATTGGATCTGGAGTTGAGTAGGGATAGTTGGTCAACTTTCACACAAAATCTGAACTAGGAGTGACTAGATCTGGTCCATCAAACGAATCCTGAGTCAATTCATCAGGTTTATGCAATATGAACCAAGCACCCAAAATATATAAAAGAATGTTCAACTA